TTCCAGTATGACTTGATATTTTTATTCAAGATCCATTTCTGTAGGTATACTGCCATCATCCAAACTAAAACATGCACTATTTCCTCACATCCAGTGTGGCTTCACATTTCGTTTATTTGAGTAGGCTGGTCACTTTTCCATGTAAGACCTATATCTTTTATTTCTGACAGAATCATAAAAAAATAAGTTAAGAAAAAAAGAGAGAACTACTGTTTCCTAGACCTTCTAATCATCTGGGAACCTTCCTTAAAAGTATATGTTTGGGTTCAGACATGCTAAATTTGCATCTATGACCATAAGGCCTTGAAATAACCTTTCAAAGACAAGTAGACCAAATAGGCACAATTTAGCTAAGTTTAGATGATTCATATGTATTTATATGTCCCCTTATAAATGTTTTAATATCATAGGCATCTAAGATATGCAAAACACAATATTTTGCTATTTTGCAGGGATCATTCTCACAGTAGAATTCATCTAAATGAGCATGGGGAAAGAAAATTGGAATTAGAGGCAAAGATTAAGGACAATTAACTTGTCACTGTTAGCTTCTCTCTTCTGAAATTTTCATTTTTCCTTGGTTTCTGTTTTGAATATCTCACTATTTTCCATTGAAGTATCTGAATCCTTCACTTCTTCCAAAATCATTCTACACGAATGTCCCTCTGAGTCAGTTTGTGGTCCTCTTTCCCTGTAGTGTCTCCATAATAATTCCTCCAATTCCCATATTTTTAGGTGCTACAGATAGACGGATGCGCCACATAATTTTTGTTTTTAATCTTAGAACAGCAAATTTCTCTTTCGTTACCTAGCCAGATGGCTGAATTGCAATTTCATAGTCATGAACTGTTACCTCTATGGCTTTGTCTATTTCCTTAATATTTATTTCATATACAATGGGACATGGGAATCCACATGTTATAGCAAGCCAGACACTTGAGAGTCTTACTTAAAGTCTGCCCTACCTTGGTTTCTTGTCTAATCATATAACAAATAAGTCCCTTATCCACACATTCCTCTACATCCCTACTTTTGTATACTTCATTCAGACTCCAACTCCTTATGAAAGTCCTAGAACTTGTCCCTTCCTAGTTAAGTAAAAGGCCAAATATCACATACAGGACAGAGAAATGCACAGAAAACCCCATAACCAAAGATCATTATAAATGGCAAGTGTCCTCATTTAAGAATATAATCTAAGGCTTTATATCTGCATTATTTATGAGTTAAATTGCTTCCCATTTTTTCCATAAGACATGTCTACATGTGAGGCCTTACAGCAGAGGTATCAGACTCTGATACAATCTCCATCACTACACCGATGACAGCAAGAAGAAGAACAACACTAAATAAACTATTTCAGGTACATTCCTTCACCCTCCCTGATCTAATAGGATAGTGGCTTTCAGAAGGAGTGAAAAGCATAGGCATTTCACACACCACACACCAAACACACACACCACACACACACCACACACACACCACCACACACACACCACACACATACACATACACACACACCACACACACCACACACACACTACACATCACAACACACACACACACACTACACACACACCACCACACACACACCACACACCACCACAACACACACACACCACCACATACACCACACACACACCACCACCACATACACCACACACACACACCACCACACACACAAACCACACACCACACACACACGTACCACCACACACACCACACACACACACCACACATACCACACACACACACACCACACACACACCACCACACACACACACCACCACACGCACCACCACACACACACCAGCACACACACACCACACACACACCACACACACCACACACACACACACCACCACCACCACCACCACCACCTAAAATAAAAATAACTACGTCCTCATTGTTCTGCTTTTTTGAGACAGAATAGATAATAGTGTTGCATGTTAATGTAGTTTGGGATTTCAAGAACTCAAATAAAGCTGGTGGAGAGCTAGGGGGTTCATTGGAAGCTTCTGGAGAAAGTTTCCCACACCCCTGATCTAAACGCTGCCGGACGGCCTCGCCCTGGGAAGGACACGCGTGTGACCTAAGGCCCCGAGGTAGCGGAGTCCTGAAGTACTTGGTGAAAGAGGGCGGCGCCAGAGGATGTGAAGGACCTGAAGCCCCTCCAGGCGCCCAAGGTGATCCACCCGAAGGCGGCTCTGGAGCAAGAGCGGCCTGGCCCAGGGGCTCCCAGGGTGAGGAGTCGGTGTGGCCGGGAGGAGGAGGGGAGCGGCCAGGTGGAGAGGCGGCTGGGCCATGGGCGGGCGCAGGGGCGGTGTCCAGGCTGGGCACAGGCTCTCTCCGGCTGCCCGCAGCAGCCTGCTTTCCCGAGCCCTGGGCGGTTGTGAGGCTCTCGCTGGAACCGAGATGGCAGGGGTCCCTGCCCTAACCGCAGCAGCGGGAGCACAAATGGGGGGTGCATACCCCCCTCGCCCAGTGTGTTGCGCTCCCCACCCCATCGTTGCTTGTGTCTGTGGCTTCTGACCATGCTTTTCGGTGATCCTCTCTGAGTTTATCTTCGATGTCAGGGTCACAGCTCTGAAAGCTATATAAATTTATGCTGTGCGAATATTAATGGAGAATACATATTTTATCATGGCGGTTCCTCATGCACAGACCAGAATGTGAGTGGCTAGAGGAATGGTGGGTTCCTGAGCCCTGAGGCCCAGTGCCCAGATCTGCCCCAGCAGAATTCAGGCTGACTGCCCCTGAGCACCTGCTGTGCTGACACTGACTGCGGCCACCCAACCAATGCTCTGTGGAAGGGACCAGCCGCCCTCTTAATTGAGGGACTGAGGCCCTGCAACATGTATTTCACCGTGGCCTTGAAACAAAGAAGTGACTTGAGCAAAGAACTGCAGGTGCGTGCCATCACAGCCAGCACACATTTTCAGTGGAAGGAAAAGCTGGCCACACCAATTACTTCAGCCAATCTCTGGAGTGTAACCAATCACTCCCATGCAGAAATAGATGTCCAATGGCTCTGGAGTGGCAGAGGGCTGCCCCAGAACCTGCTCTCCCGACACAGCACCATTTGGATGTGCCAGCTTGGCTAGATTTGTTTTCAGTTCTTTTTGTGCTGGTGTGGATTTCACATACTCCTGAGCAGCAGCACCATGGACTGCTCAGTCTGATTTCTCCCATGATTGTCTTTCTGATTCCTGTGAGATCACCAGCCAAACCGTGTAAAACATGTGCTGTGCAAGGCTTGGCCTAGCTGAGCAACATGACCAATACTCATGGTGAGGAGCCCTGGACCTGTGATGTCCCTGAACCCTCCTGTTCCTTTGGGTGGAAGAACAGGTTATATCAAGAACAGAATACAAGCAACTATGGTTAGAACAAAAGTGCTACTTCTGCATGGAGTGACAATAGGAAGACCTTGAGCATGGGCAGATAGCTGTGTTTCTTGGTGCAACTTCCTGGAGACCAATGGAAAGCCTGGGGAAAACTCTGGTGGCCACAGATGTATGAGGAAAGTAAGGAAAGGTACATGTAAAACTGTGCATCTACAAAATGCTGAAACAAAGATACAGGTTGACCCATCATAACAATGAGATGTACAAGACACTATGTTAAAAACGAACTTTACAACTTTGGGGTAGGAGGAGGGAGGAATTGGAGAGGTGGGGAGGAAAGGGATGGTAGGGGAAAAACAAAGGAGGGAGTAACAATGCTCGATAGGAAATGTACTCATTACCTATCTCATGTAACTGTTTGTACAGTATGGTTACAATAAAAATATATGTATTTAAAAAACTGTACACCTGTGGGGGAGGGACATACAAAGCAACAAAGAAATAATATTATAAATGTGTTAGAAACAATCACATGAAAGAAAAAAATTTGAATACATATCTTAGGGTTCATTTCCCTAACATCACCTTATCTGACCTTTTCGGCTTGACTTAGACAAATACTAGATACTGCAAATAAGGGAAACCCTGGGACTTATGTTTCTTTGGGCCTGGCTTACTTCACTTAATATAATTTTTTCCAAGCCTTTCCATTTCCTAACAAACGGGGCAATGTTATTCTTTCTGATGGAGGCATAGAATTCCCTTGTGTATATATACCACATTTTCTTGATCCATTCATCTACTGAGGGGCATCTGGGTTGGTTCCAATTCTTAGCTATAGTAAATAATGCTGCAATAAACATAGTCATGCTGGTAGCTTTAGTGTGGTCTTGTTTGTGATCATTTGGGTAAATGCCCAAAAGTGGGATTGCTGGGTCATAGGGGAGCAATATGTGGAGTCTTTTGAGGAACCTCCATACTGCTTTCCAAATTCATGTCGGTATAATTTGTGGAGGGGAAGGGGAAAAACAAATCGTTTAAATAGGGATACAGGTGGACCCATTGCAACAATGAGATGTACAAGTAGTTATGTCGAGAACGAACTTTACAACGAAGGGATGGGAAGGGGAAACAAAGGAGGAGGCTACAATGCTTGATAAGAAATGTACTCATTATCTTGCCCATGTAATTGTAACCCCTCTGTACAGTATTTTCACAATAAAAAAAGCTATAGATATAAAAACATTAAAAAAAAAACTGTACACCTATCCTGCTAAAGCAAGCCCCACTCTTGCCCCCAACCCAACTGGATAGAGTTAGATGGGGCTGTGGCTGTAAAAGTAGCTGTCATTATGACTCCACCCTGCCTGGATCACAGATTCTGGCCACACCCCCTATTCATATTTCTCTCCGACCAATGGGATACAAGAATTGGGGCCACGCCCACAGTCCTAGTAACACTGGTATTCCCTTTGTTGGTTCACACTACTGCGGGGAGTTGAGGAAGGTGGAGGTGGCTGCAGCGGTGAGCTAGCAAATTGAGTTGACTTTGGAAATATAGTGGGAAATAGATATAGTTGTTAGTGATTTTGAGAGGTTATTTCAGAGAGCCTGGGAATGTGGCCCCCCCATCGTGCCCGTCCCAGAGCTGGGATGTCTGAACAAACAAGGGAAAAAAAAATAGCAGCAGGAAAGAAATTACTGCACGAATATCAACAAAAAAAATGTCTTGATGGACCTGAAAAAATCAAGAAAAAGAAAACTAAAAAGGTAGGGCACCCCAAGACAAACACCGCTGGGGTCCAACCAATTAGGGGTCCAACCAAAGACCACGCTGACCCTGACTCTCCCCTACCTTTGGACACAGACAGAGCTGCCAGGGTGGAGAGAGTCACAGGTCCCAATGTCAGTGAGGATCTGGAGAGGCGCTACCAACAGCTGGTGCTTGCCCTGGACTCCAGCCAAATTAGAAACCTACAGCTCTGCAGTGAGATCGAACAACTAAAGCAGGAAAAGAAAGACCTGCAGGATCGAGAGAAAGAAAATGAGGAGATGGCCCGTGTGCACGAAGCACTGCAAAGAGAGCTGGAAATCCACAAACTAGCACTAGAGATGATGGTTTCAAAAGAACGCAATTTACGATCTGCCCTGGCCCACATGGAGGCCACACAGCAGCGTGCTGCGGAGCTAGAGAAGGCATTGTCTGCAGTCACCACCTTGCAGATTGAGACTGAGAAAAAGAACCTACAACTCATTGAAGACATGAATAATGTGAAGCTTCAGCTCCAAGAAAACACCAGAAGCTATGATGACTTGAAGAAAGTGAACACCAAGTTGCAGGAGAAGCTGGAAGTGCTCGGGACACAGAAGAGCAACATGCAGAACAGAATTCGCAAGTTTCAACAAGCACTAGTGGAGCGGGAAGCACTGAAAAACCGACTACACAACCTGGGTAGTCGAGTGACCACATTAAAGTTGGAGAGAGACACCTTTGCGGAGGACCTGAGGGTGGAGAGGTCCACGTGGAAGGAAAAGGTCCAACAGCTCTCAGAGCAGATGAACCAACTGCAAAAGGAGAGAGAGCAAGGGGTGAGGCAGGCACTGGACCTAGAGACCAACCTGGCAGGACTGAGAAAACAGCTGGCAGAGCTGCAGCGCCCTGCAGGACCATCTCAGGCTGAGCAGCAGCTGCAGGCCCAGGCTTACCAGATGCAGGAGGAGTTAAAAAACTTGGAACAGCAACTTCACACCCAGGAACAAGAAAACCAGAGCCTCAGTATCCAGAATGCAGAGCAGCAGGAGCGGCTGCAGAGACTGGAAATGAAGGCTGAGGAATGGAGTCAGTGTGCCAACGATCGGCACAAGATTCTTGAGGCAAGTCAATGCACACATGTGCAGAACAGAGACCTGAAAGAGCAGCTGACTCAGCTGCGGGACGCTTTCCACAGGCTGAGCCTGGAGAAGGAGCAGCTCACCAGCAGCCTAAACACAGAGCAGCAGGTGAAGAAACATCTGCAGGAGAAGTTGGACCAGTTAAAGGAAAAGTTAGAGGAGTGGAAAGACATGGCTGAAATAAAGAGCCAAGCGGCTCAGAATCTGAAGGAGCAGCAGGCGCAGTCCCTGGCCCAGCTGCAAGAGCTCAGAGCCACCTGTGAGCAGCACATCACCTCCAATCAGCAGCTGACCTGGGAGAAGGAGGCCCTGCAGCAACACCCGTGGAGGCAGACCCAGCTGCTGGAGCAGCTGAAGCAGGTACAGGAGCAGACCAAGTTGGAGGACCAGATGGTGTCTCAAAAGTTTCAGGATATTCTGAAGTACCTGGAAGCAACTAAACAACAGAAGGAGCAACTACAGGCCCAGCTGAGCTTCCTGGCTTTCACTAGAGAAAGTGAAGGAGTACACAATGAAGAAGATAGTGAGGAGGCAACTCTACATGACCTGACTGTCCCAGAAGATATAGACAACCCACAAACCATGAAAGATTTTTACCTTAAAGCCCTAGCAGTGGCTGAATCAAAACAGATAAAACTTAGCAAGCAGCTGGAGAACCAGCAGGCCCGCTGCAGGTGCCTGGCCAACCTGGCAGCCCAGTGCCAGACAAAGCTCGATCAACAGGCTCTCTTCCCCAAGAGCCGGAACCACGGCGTGTCTGGCAGCAGGAAGCAGGACCCACAGGTGTCCAAGAAGAAGCCGAAAATCAGCTTCATCCATGACCTGCCTGACGAGGTGGACTTCCAAAGTCAAGTGGATGACTTCCAACATCGATACAGCCAGCTGTCAGAACACATCAGTGCCATTGGAGAATCCATAGTGTACTGTAAAGAACAAATGGAGGTCCTGGATAAGCTGTATAAGGAGAAAGATGACTGTGTCAACCAGCTGTCCCAGGAGAAGAGGGAGAAGAAGAAGGAGCTGCAGGAACTGCTGCTGCGCCTTGCAGGAGAAGGCATGGAGTGCCACAGCAAAACGCCCGCAGACACCACGACCCCCACAGACAGCAAGACCCCCGCAGACAGCAAGACCCCCGCAGACAGCACGACCCCCGCAGACACCACGACCCCCGCTGCTAAAACCACTTCAGACTTGTTAAGCCCCATGAAGATTGGGGAGGAGCAGAAAGGTTTTGAAGAAGTGCAACTTGAAGAAAATGTGGAACTTGCCCGAGTAGAGGCTGGGGGGCCTTGCCCCCTAGAGGTCTCCACCCCACAGCACGTCGTGCTGATGATGCCAGATATCCAGCAACACCATGAGCACTCTGTCCCTTTCTTCTCCTGACTGATGCAAATAATGAGTTTCAGATAATGACTCTCTAAAGACTTGGAAGCCACCACCTAGAGCAGTAGGCAGCTGGATAATTCTTTCAGGCCTTGATCTACTGGGTTATATGAAGGGTTAAGGGCAAAGGCTGCTGGGAGGTGGTCCCAATTCTAGAGACGTCTAATAGTTCTTTGGTTGCCAGGGAAGGACCTACTATGTATTGTTATTAAAAAATAAATTCTTTACAATCATATTGTATTAGTATCATATTGTATTATTGTAGAATTATGAATTCCATATTAGCATTTATTTTTCTGAAGATCCATATGAAGTCAGTAATGTTATCTCCAATGCAAATTCAAGGACATACATTTAGAGAGGTTAAAATTTCTTCTGGAAGTCACAAAATGGATGTGAAATCACAAATTCACATGTATGTTTAAGTAAATTCAAAGACAACTGTTTCTGCTAGCTATACTATTTAGCCATGTTTTATGCCTTGATATTAGTTCCCCTGTGATAACCGGTGATAAAAAGTCAAACAATTGTGACAGTGCTTCTGACATATTTCAGATGGCCTGGCGGGTGGGAGAGTGGATGAAGGGTAGATGTGCCATCAAAACAAATATTCTTTGAAATTAACTTCCCATATGATTCACAGAAGGGTGTACCAACATTAGAGTTATGCCTTTAATAGTATTACATCAGGGGATTATCAGTAATTAAAAACCTACTAGGAATTCATTTATTAGATCACTTTCTAAGGTGCCAGTGAGATGAGCTCAAAAGAGCTTTAGGTTGTAAATTGTTATCATTGACAGAATAATACCTTTTACTCAGAATTTCTTTAAAAGGCAGAAACTATAAATTTTAGCAGTCTACATTTTATAGATACTTTCACTCCCTGAAGTAATTGTCCTTATGCCAGAGTTTTCTATTCAATTTGTTCTGCTTGCTTAGATTTTAATATACAGAGCACTGTCTATCCTGGGTCAATATTTTTTATATCTGTTTTCTTCTTTCTTACCAAGAAAAATGTGAAACAGTAAAAGAAGAAAAAGATTGGTTGCATTTTCTTCCTGTATGCCCAACACAAGATTTGCCCTGAGTGTATGAATCTGCTTCAGATTCATCAAAAATGCCATTTTTATTTTTTAGCATCCCTTCCAGCACAGATGTATAAGACAGTGTACTCAGCCTCCTTTCTCCTCTGTCAACAAATCTGCACATGTTGTTGCTTTGTTCAGCTTTCCAAATAAGCTCTTTCCTTCCCCTTGTACCTCTTCTGTAATCCCTTTCTGTATCCCTTCTCCTCTCTTTGTTTGCTCCCAGGATTTTATTCTGAGTAATTAGCAAACAAGTTGGGGGCTGACATTAGGGACAATGATGGAGTAAGAACTTCTCAAAGTCTTTTCCCTCACAAAAACAAGAAGACCATTAGCAAGAAAAATGTCGAAGTCAATTCTGCAGAACTCTAGAAATTAGCCAAAGCTTTGTCATAATTCTGTGAGCCATTATTCAAGGAAAGCTGCTGGATCTTGGCATAGGCTGTTTTGTGTCATTTTCCTAGGCCCCTTCCCTTTTCTTGTAGCAAGTTTCATAGAACCCTTGAAAACAAACAGCTGTAGTGTAGTCCTGATTTATTAAAGTCTATTTTTTATATATTTGAAATGTGCTTAATTTTTTACTTCAGTAATATGAACCAAAGCATGTTGCACCAAATTTATTCTTTGTAAAAAAAAAAGTGGCAATCATAATGAACAAAATAAAATGAAAAAGAAAAAGAAAATAACAGCTTATCATTATGGTATAAACCAACAACAGAGCAGTAATGGAAAGGATCAAAGCTGGGTTAGTTGGGTTGGAACATTTTCAGTCTTGTTCTCTGAGGATTGCTGTTATTCATCCTATCCTGCATTTCTCAACCTATTCTCAGTCTTACTTTGGAGTGAATGCTTTAGTTCACCCAGTGAATCAGCCTTTTCCATGGGGGGGGCATTTGTCAATGATAACCAGTTGCATTATGTGACACCATGCTGATGAGGGGATGTCAAACAATAAAGGTGACAACAAATTCCAGACAGACAACAAGATAATCAAGAAGCTAAGAAAAAAAACGAGGAGGGGGGCTGGTAAAGTGCTTGCCTTGCATGCATGAGGCCCTGGGTTCGATTCCTCAGCACCACATAAGCAGAAAAAAAAGCCAAAAGTGGCGCTGTGGCTCAAGAGGTAGAGCTCTAGCCTTGAGCTGAAGAGCTGAGGGACAGTGCCCAGGCCCAGAGTTCAGGCCCCACAACCAGCAAAAAAAGGGGGGGGACTATGGCAAAAAAGTGGAGAAATTAGAACCCTCATATGTTACTAGTTAGAAATCAAATGGTATGGTCACTTTGAAAAACAGTCTGCCATTTCCTAAAATGATTAAACATAGCATTTCCATATCACAATAGTTCCAATTCTTATTCATGTACTGAATGAGTTAAAAATAGATGTCCATCCCAAAACTTGTGCATTAATGTTCATGTGTTAATAACTAAAGAGAGAAAACAAATGTCCATCCATTGAAGAAGAGATAAGCAAAATGTGGTATGTATTCATACACAGTTAATTACATAACAATGAAAGAAACTACATTTCAAGTGCCACAGGTTATATGACTCCATTAATACAAGAAAACTATGAGGCAAAGGTTGAGAGTGATGTTTAACAGTTAAAGGGAGTTGACAGTGATTGTTAATAGATGTGAGTGTGTTTTGTGAGATGATAAAATCTTCTGGTATTAAATACTAGAAATGATTGCATCCGCCCTGTATATATATACAAATGAATAAACATATATATTATATTCATATATATGTGCCAGAATGGGGCTTGAACTCAGAGCCTCAGGCTGTCATTCAGCTTTCTTTTTCATGGCCCAAACTCATTCAAACATTTGCTAGTTAACTGGCAAAGTCCACAGATGTTTCTTCCCAGGCTGGCTTTGAACCTCAGTACTCCCGTTCTCAGCCTGGTGAGCAGCTAGCATTACAGATGTGAACTATAACTATCAATTTGCATATTAAATTAATACTAAAATATTATTTAATAAATAAAGCTAAAATATTTACTTAAATGCTAAAATTTATATTGTATACTATAAAATGAGATTTTTCAGTATGTATATTTCCATAAAAATAAATACAAACATGTTAGTATATGCAATTCAATGGCACTAAAGGGGCAGTTTATAGCCCTAAGGCCTGGTGCCTTCTTTAAAGCTTGCTGATTTGTCTGTGCTACTCTAATAAACATCCCAACGTTCCTTTTCCTGGAGCACAAGATGACATTATAACTTATGATCCTTTCGTATCCCTGAAATTCAATGAATTCAGGTACTGAGTCATCGCTTTCATCATCAAAATGCATCACCTATGAACCCAAGATTAAAAATACATTCTTTGACTAAAAACAATGATGATGACAACAAGGACAATGACAACAATGATGATGATCTGGGAAGCATTATCTCAGACAATGCACCATTGGAAAAAGCATGCAAAGAACTTTGTCCTTACAAAGATGTACTCTCATTAAACATGTCCTTTTTCTCCTGTTCTGATCTCAAATTGCTTTCTATATATAGTAAGAAACCTTGAAAATTTTATTCCAGATAAGTTAATTATATTGCTTTCCTTCTTAAACAAATACTATACTATGGAAGTATAGGACAAGTATGATCCAGGAAATTAGACAAGGACTGGAATTAATAAATCAAGAACAGTCAAGTCAGATTTGATCTAAAGTAACAGAATTTTGCTGTAATCCTGAAGAGACCAGAATTTCACAATCCTTGGGTTATAACTACTAGCACACTATTTCTTGTATTATATTTATTAATGTGGGCTACACATTAGAATTCAGGGCTAAAATCATTTTGCCATAATTCTCAAGGTCTATGTTTTCCATCTATTCTTTCTATTTTATGTGTAATTAATTTGTCAGCATTGTCAAGAAAAAAGTCTTCATATTGTCTATATCTTCATTATTTCATCCACAAGCTAGAATCAACCTCTATTTCTATCTCTACAATTTTTTCTAAAATAGGTCATATGAAATTTCAATACAAAATTCTTCTGTGGAAGAAAAATGGAAGAATGGACTTTATGTACTTAACTTTCTCTTTAAAATGTATGTTTCTCTCTCTGTGTACATATAGGAAACCTACTCAAGAGTTAATATAAGTAAATGAAGACAGCTATGAACAACTTAAGTATGTATATTAGTGAATTAACCCTTTCCTTACCTTTCTTTTTCCCTATCTTTCTTTCATTCCTTCTTCTTTTTTAAAAAAAGAAATGAAGTCTGTCCATCAAATGACTATGCAGAGATTGTGTCATCTCCAGGTAACTTAAAAAAATATATCCAATATTCTTTTAGCTCCAAAATTCCACCAAGGACAGAGAAACTTAAACTTCTTATTGTTCACTGCAGGATGATTTCTTTCTTCCTGACCTAACTGTTCCAGAAAACTTTCCTGAAGAAAAATGAAAAGCAGCTATGAACTGGCACTTTACATTTTCCTAATCCTGTACTGTATCACCTCTAATGATGATGTTTAATTAACTCTGGATGAAATATTTTACACACTGTTTTGATTCCCTAAGTCCAATCCAATGAGCTATTAGGACCTAAATCACCTCCATGAAAAAACATGGCTCAAAAACTATGTATGTATAAGATGATGTTAAGCAAAATGAACCTCAAGATAGAGCAGCAAGTGGTTTTATCTTTCTTGTTGTTGTTTTTAATGTTTTTATAATGTACCATGTGATTTTTTTTGTCAGTTGTGAGGCTTGAACTCTGGGCCTTGGCACTGTCCTTCAGCTGTTCAGCTCAAGGCTAGCTCTCTACCACTTGAGCCACAGTGACATGTCCAGTTTTCTTAGTGGTTTATTAGAGATGAGTTTCATGTACTTTCCTGCCCAGGCTGGTTTTGAACCAGGATCTTCAGATCTCAGCCTCCTGAGTAGCTAGGATTA